GAGAAGGCAAGCGGGTTCCCCAAGAGTGCGGGACGATGCGCGTTTGGCAGCGAAGGCGTATGCTTCCAGCGGTAACAGGGCCATACCGCGCCGCTGCCCGCCCACCTCTCGCCGTCTGACTCTAGCCGTTTAGCAGAGAGAGCGTTAGCGTTGAAGAGGGCAGCACCGATGAGAGTCGCATGCGGAAATCAACGGACAGAGAAGGGGTCTCTTTTCGGGTTCTGGGTCGTTTCTCATAGTTTTTCTTTATTCCTGCACCTCTGACCACATCCACCTTCATTGCTAATGAGCTGCTTTTCTTCGCAAACTAAACCTTAAGGCCTCACTGTAACCGTGGGTGGAAATGGCATTGGGAGCACTTCATTAATTTCTGCGGCTCTAACGATAAGGATCAAGACAGACGTTCATAAAATAAGAAATTGTATTAGAATTGGGATAGCTCCCAGGTCCTTATCAAAAGTTTTAATAAGGATGTAATCAAAGTTTCAATCCTCACCACTAGTGAATCCTTTGCTCTAGAAAGACAGAGCACAATGGATTGGCTCCTCTGACGCCATTTTCGCCCAAATGTAGTATAACAAGGGACGTGGATTCGCAGTTTATGTGCGCCAACCGCAAGGCACAGGACATTTTCCCTTTCGTTTCCGGCTTCCAAAGACGCTTTCGTCTGCCTCCGATCACTTAATACAAAAATCTGGCTCATATCTCTGATATCGACCGCGAGATCTGCCTTCGAAATAGGGTTCCTAAAAGGGAAAGGGAATGTGGATGAAGGGGCGAGAAAATGTCTACTAATACTTATTCGTTCTACGTTGTGCAAGAGAGGCTCAGCAAAAAAGAGACACATGACAACATCTTATCTTACCTTTTTTCAGGTCTATAGAGAGCAATCCGTGGCTCTGGTGAAGTCCAAACACCCCAAACTTTCGCATAAGAAGGCGCTGCTGCTAGCTGAAAAGGAGTTCAACGAAGCTGCACGGTAAACTATGATTATTGCATGCTGAAGTTCACGAGCACTCGCGAGCAAAATGCATGCGGCCTTTTCAAACTTCTCTCTATTTTGTGGGTGCATGACCGTCGACTTAGTGGCCTTTCCGAACTGTACAATCGAGATTATTTGAAGCGCTACTGTGAGGTTGAAGGCACAATTGGATGAGGTTGAAGGCTGGCGATGAAGATGCTTCTTAACTTGCCAACGAAGGACAGCGAAGAAACCAGAAGTCATGAATAACGCTGTGCTTTCTCTAAGTGATGAGATATTCTGGGACAAGCCCTCTAACCACCGGGAGGGGCCCTTCAGGGCAAGCCGCCCTTTTCGGAAGGGTTTCCTGCATATTATAGAGACCTATGCAGAGAGCACAAAACCAAACCTGTTTCATTTTCGCTGAACGGTTTTAGCAGTACCAAAAAATCTCGATGGTTCGATCCCCGTGGCGACTAAATTTTGCATTTGGGTTTTCGCCTACGGTTTGGTGCCGAATGGTGCTAAATGTTAAAAGATGTCATATTCATGGTTAGGACCATATTGAAGGCCAAGAATAGCCGCCAATCCTTGAATGCAAAATTTGTAAGCAACGGGGGATCGAACCATGGAAGTAACACTCACTACTTTCTTGGTACTACTTAAACCGTTCAGCGAAAATGAAACATGGTTCCGTGGTCCATACATGCGTCCCTACAATATCCTACAAGGAACCGTTCCAAAAACGCGCGGCTTACCCTGAAAGATCCTCCTTGTAAGACATTGGGGCCGAGAGTATAGCAGAAAGCGGTACACAGAGACCGCCGCGGTGAGCAAGCACTGCTCCATCGGGCCAACCAGCCAGGTTCTATTTCCCTTACGGCCGCGAAAGTAGTATGATTTCCGAAGTTGACCGTATTCACAGACGAGACCGGTGCTCAAAAAAGTGAAGGTGGAGATGCCTTCACGTGAGGAATTAAGACGGAG